ACTAATTATACATATTTTGTTTCTTGTGTTTATATTATGTCTGTCTATTTGTCTGCAGAAATTATAACCTTGCCCATAAGTTTTAAGTGGGATGGGCTATACAAATGGCTTCCACATTTTATAGGTTTATTTTTTGTGACAATTAAGACCTTTTATTTGGGTACCATTAATTTTTACCTGAAATCGCTTGACCTAGGATACACATTTTTACAAGAAAAATACCAAACTTTAAACTTGGCCTAAATTTTGATCAGTAGGTGCTAGGGCTTTCATGCTTAACATGTGTATTCATTGTGAACTGTCAACAGGTATAAATATGTTTGACCTTGACCCTAGAGTTTGAACCACTTAAAAAAAAAATTAACCTTGGCAATTAACTTTTGAACAGGAATTACTAGGGATTTCTTTATTTCACATGTGCATTCCTTGTGACAAGATTCTCTTCTGATACTAACAATTTGAACCCTTTGACCTTGACCTTTGAGTTTGACATATATTTGAGAAACTTCAACCTTCGCCATAGGCTTCCATACAGGGACATCAGTGTTTCACAAACATGAATATGTTGGTCGTGCATATCTCTGCATGAAAAAAACAGCTTTTCAAATACTGCAACCATATTCTAACCCCTTCAAAACACTCATTTGAGCTTTTCTGGTTTCCTTAGCATATAACGTCTGTCGTGACGTGTCGTCCATCTGTTTGTCTGAAAACTTTTTACATTTTTAACTTCTCTAGAACCACTGGGCCAATTTTACCCAATTCATATAGAAATATGTACATCTGTTTGTCAGACTGTCCATCTGTCTCAATAAATTTAACCTTAAGCTTGGTCATCACGGTCATATCTACAGAATGTTAAACTTATGTATTAGTATTTACCTGTGAGAATGGCATGGGTTTTTTTTTACCTGTGACCTAGAAGTTTGACCTACTTGCAAAAAAATTAAATTGTTATAAATTCATCATTTTGAAAGAGAAAAGTTAGGGCATTCATATCATAATGCATGTATATTATTACCTTTGATAAGACCTTTCCAAATAAATCATGACTTTTACTCTGTGACCTTGACCTTGAAGCGGTCAAGCCTCTACTTTTCAAAAATGTTGCATTTGCTTATAACTTTTGATTGAGATGAGATATGACTCTCACATTTGACATGTACATTAATTACTCATAAGAATTCAAGGTGTTTCCCAGCATGTGATGCTTTTTTACCCCTTGACGTTGATGTTTAAGTTTTACATAATTTTCAAAATATTTAACTCTCCTAAAAGATGATTAGGCTTCTGAGTAACATTAAGGAAGACTTCAGGGAAGACAGGGCTTTTTGCACAAAAAATATCATTTTTCGACCCACATTTGACCCCCCAGGGCAAAATCTTAATTCCAAAACCTTACTGCACATCTACCTGACACCACCAACCATCTCCCAACAGATGATTAGGCTACTGTGTAAAATGTAGGAGAAGTTCAGGGAAGACGGGGCTTTTTGCATAAAAAACGTCATTTTTTGACCCCCATTTGACCCCCCGGGTTAAACCAAAATTCCGAAACCTTACTGCACATCTACATGACCCCACCAACCATCTCCCAAAAGAGGAATAGGCTGCTGAGTAAAATGTAAGAGGAGTTCAGGGAAAACGGGGATTTTTGTATAAAAAATGTTATTTTTCGACCCCAATTTGACCCCCCGGGGCAAAATCTAAATTCAGAAACCTTACTGCACATCTACCTGACACCACCAACCATCTCCGAAAAGATGATTAAGCTACTGTGTAAAATGTAGAAGGAGTTCAGGGAAGACGGAGCTTTTTGCATAAAAAACATCATTTTTCTACCTCCATTTGATCCCCTGGGGCAAAATGAAAATTCCGAAACCTTACTGCACATCTACGTGACAACACCAATCATCCCCCAAAAAATGATAAGGCTGCTGAGTAAAATGTAAGAGAAGTTCAGAGAAGACGGGGCTTTTAGCATAAAAAATGTCAATTTTCGACCCCCATTTGACCCCCCAGGGCAAAATTAAAATTCCAAAACCTTACTGCACATCTACATGACCCCACCAACCATCTCTCAAAAGATGATTAGGCTACTGTGTAAAATGTAGAAGGAGTTCAGGGAAGACGGGGCTTTTTGCATAAAAAACATCATTTTTCGACCCCCATTTGACCCCCGGGGCAAAATCAAAATTCCGAAACCTTACTGCACATCTACGTGACACCACCAATCATCCCCCAAAAGATGATAAGTCTGCTGAGTAAAATGTAAGAGGAGTTCAGGGAAGATGGGGCTTTTTGCATAAAAAACATCATTTTTCGACCCCCATTTGACCCCCCGGGGCAAAATCAAAATTCCGAAACCTTACTGCACATCTACATGACACCACCAATCATCCCCCAAAAGGTGATTAGGCTGCTGAGTAAAATGTAGAAGGAGTTCAGGGAAGACGGGACTTTTTGCACAAAAAACGTCATTTTTCGACCCCCATTTGACCCCCCGGGGCAAAATCAAAATTCCGAAACCTTACTGCATATCTACATGACACCAACAACCATCTCCCAAAAGATGATTAAGCTACTGTGTAAAATGTAGGAGGAGTTTAGGGAAGAAAAGTGTGACAGACGGACGGACGGACGGATGGACGGACATGAGTAACAACAATATACCCGAACTTTCTTTAGAAAGTGCGGGTATAACAATGCATGGTGTCTAATTTAGCCTTTATTAAACAGTTCTAATAGTTGTAATAAGAATATAAAGTCCACCGAGAACCTGTTTTATGCGTAATAACTCTCCTTATTCCCCTGTGCTAAAAATAGCGATATTTAATACAATAAATTAAATACTAATAAAACAAGCTAATTCAGAGAATTCGTGTCCCCCGCTTAGGGAAAAAGTCGGATCCCCCTGACTTAATTTGTAGAATTATTAAATGTATACATGCATACTGATAGAATACATGTATGTCAATATGCATATAAAGATTTGATTGCTTATTCTTTATTATGTGTATAGAATATTCTTTTTATATTGAATATATTTCACACTGTAATGATGATTTTATAACCTCATAATTTTTTCATTTCACATGCTGTGCTGAATACTATCATTTAGTAAAAAAAAGAAAAGTATTTAAAAAAAAAAAAGAAAAGTATTTAAAAAAAAAAAAAAAAAAAAAAAAAGGATCGACCGTGATTCGATCCCGGGACCTCTCACATATGAAGCGAGAGACATACCACTAAACCACGGAATCACTTTACATGATGTCAAGTATATGCAGAACTGAAGTCACATACATGTGTATATTCATGTTCGGTATTCTCAAAATTTTGCACAATCCATAGTGTTTGATTTATTTAGCCTTTATTAAACAGTTCTTATAGAAGTAATAAGAACATAAAGTCCGCCGAGAACCTGTTTTATACGCAATAACTCTCCTAATGCCCCTGTGCTAAAAATAGCGACATGTAATACCATAAATACTAATAAAACAAACGGGGCGGGGCACTTTGAGAGGGATGAGAGAGGTCCTAGGGAGTTTTGGTATAAAATTATATTGCATAAGCTCAAAATCTTCTTGAAATATCGACCGGAAATGATAGTGTTACACACAGACAGAATGTATAAATTTACGACCTTGAACTTTGACCTTTTGACCTCAAAATCAATAGGGGTTTTCCTTAGGCCACAGGGAGTTGTTATGTGAAATTTCATTGCGATAGCTCAAATGGTTCTAGAGATATCGTGTGGAAACGAAAGTGTTATAACAGACAGAATTTGCTTATTTATGACCTTGACTTTTGACCTTTTGACCTCAAAATCAATAGGGGTCTTCTTTGGTCCATAGGGAGTTGCTATGCTAAATTTCATTGCAAAAGCTCAAAGGGTTCTCGAGATATCGTGTGGAAACGAAAGCGTTACAGAAAGACGGACGGACGGACGGACAAACCCAAATTAATATCCGCCACTTTTCAAGCGGGGGACAACAAACGGGGCGGGACACTTTGAGAGGGTTGAGAGAGGTCCAAGGGAGTTTTGGTATAAAATTACATGTACATTGCAAGAGCTCAAAATCTTCATGAAATATCGCCCGAAAACGATAGTGCAACAAACAGACAGAATATATAAATTTACGACCTTGAACTTTGACCTTTTGACCTCAAAATCAATAGGGGTCTTTCTTAGGCCACAGGGAGTTGTTATGTAAAATTTCATTACAAACGCTGAAAGGGTTCGCGAGATATCGCGCGGAAACGAAAGTGTTCTAACAGACAGAATACACGAATTTATGGAAACGAAAGCGTTACAGACAGACAGAAAGACGGACGGACGGACGGACAGACCCAAATTAATATCCCCCACTTTTCAAGCGGGGGATAATTATAGTTGACATTTAATTAAATGTGTGATACTTACTATCCGAGTGAAGTCTAAATATAGTTTACGGACATAATCTTGTATATAATGTATTGTTAGAGGAATAAGTAAGAATTCTGGTGCACCCGTTTCGGAGTTTATTTGCAATTTTTTTTTTATTTTAAGTATAGATAGTGTAGTCTACTTGTATGCCAAATTATATTGAAATCGAGAGTGGGTCTTCTCTCCAAAATCCTCAAAGTTTGCATAAAAACATACATATTTTGGTAGCTAAAAAATTGAAAAATTGTTTACGAAGACAGATTCACAAACACGATTTAAATGCCACAATCAGGACTTGTGTAGCGTAGTGGTTAGCGTGCTTTGCATGAGATTTTTATTGCCAGGGTTCGAACCCAATGGATACCACATAAATTTTTCTTAATAAAAGAATAAATTTTAACGAAAAGTCAAAACTTTTTGTTTATCATGGGAACTTTACTCTAAATACTAAAATCACAATTTGAATATGATTTTTATATATAAGCTTGTGGGTTTTTTTGCATAACGGGCGAAGCCCGTTATGCTAAAATTATCCCATGTTTCCCACTATTGTTTATGCTAAAATTATCCCATGTTTCCCACTATTGTTGATGTCCCTGGCATACTCTCAAAACTAGACAGTGATTCCTTATATTTCCATTTCATTGTGGAATAAAATTGTAGACTTAGACATTAAGAATGTAGACTAATCGATTTAAATTACACGAGGACTTCCATGCCAATTTCAATAGTCCTCGCACACTGACGTCAAACACAAAGGCAGCCGCACGAGATTTACATGCATATTTGGCCTCCTTAGCGTCAGACACAGAGACAGATGCGCACGAGGTTTGCATGCGTATTAGGCCTCCTTAGCTGCTGACCTATCGACCTGCCTAATTTACATTCCGGTAGAATTATCAGGAAATCAACTCCGCTTACTTTCAAAGGGTTATTATAGAGAAAAAATTTAGAAATGGAAATATTATCGCATATCAAGCTTTCCTGGATCCAAGACCATAAACTGAGAATAGACTTAAGTCAAAATTTAGATTTTGAATATTTTAATTATTATCTAATGAATATGCCTAAATCTTTCAAGTTTGTAAACTATTTGAATACAAACATATCTTGAAAATTTTGTTTCATTTTTAAATTTATTTAAAAAGTTACACTGATTTGAAATTTCGACTCAAGTCTATTCTCAGTTTATGGTCTTGGGGCCTGGTCTCTGCTGCCCCCCTATGCTACGCGACTGGAAACTCTAACCAATCCTTTGTCAAAAGCTGACATCTATCATACCTTAAACAATGGTTTCTCAAATAGGCCTAACTTAAGTATCTGGAAACATATTTGTGAGGATACCTCTTACTTTCGCACAATATTAAAGAGTGTCAGCTATAGGATATGTATTTAAATAGTAATTTTAAAAGTGAGTATTGTCCTCATCAGATTCTTCATCTTCATAAATATCTATTTTGTTCCTTTGAATCCCATGAATTAAGTCAAATCTCTCCATACTGTAAAGAACGCACTTCAACATGTCGTAATTACAAGCTGGAACACATCTTCTACGTTCCCACATGAAGTACCAGTGGCAGAATACGACGTCCATGATGACCATTTTTCTAGTGTAACAGAAGTGCTGTATTATCTCCATGTCACTGGATGACTTTATCCCTGAGGAAAAATGTAAAAATTTGAATGAAGAAAAAGTACGTGTAACATTCCCTCGGTAATCCCACCCTTACCAAACTAGAGGTACCGTGAGCAATGAGCTCACTAAATGATACCCCCGCCTTTCATATGAATATAATGTCAGTGTCCATGTTTTCCTATGGGAAACACAAATTATGTGTCGGACCAAAAAGTAAAATAGGTCACAATGGCAATATATAAAAAAAGATTCTGTGAAAGTCTCAGTAAATTTCATTCATTCAGTGGTATGAGAGGATTTGTGGATAAGAGATGGGTACCCCAAAGCGTAACAGACGGACGTATAGACGGACGGACATCCCGATTACTATACACCCTCCCACTTTTCAAGCGGGGTATAATAAACAAGGAATTGCCATGGCCTTGATCTCTAATTTCTTTGCAGTTTCATCAAAAAGGATCAATTCAGGATAACAAACTAGAGGTACTGTGAGCAATGAGCTCACTAAAAGATACCCCCCGCCTCCCATATAAATATAATGGCAGTGTCCATGTTTTGCTCTGGAAAATCAAAAATATATGTCAGATCAAAAAGTAAAATAGGAGGTGCACAATGGCAATATGTAATTAAGAATCTGTGAAAGTTTCATAAAATTTCCTTCATTGGTATGAGAGGAGTTGCAGATAAGAGATGGGTACCCCAAAGCGTAACAGACGGACGGACGTACAGACGAAAACAATTTCAATTTCCGGCAAAAAAGTTATCTTCATTACTTATTTTATACCAAATATGTCTCAATTTTTTTAAATTGCATTTTAAACCTAAAATTGATTATTTGCAATTTTAAAACTTGGTGGTTTGACCTGTTTTTAACCTGCAATTTTATGTTTTCTCCAGATGTACCAACTGGTAATTTCTTGATTGCAGGTCTCAAGCTTAACTTGACTCCATTATGACTACATAATGTAAGTCAATAACAAGACTCTTTTTTTTCTACAAGAGACCCGTGAGCTACATCGCTCAGTTGAGCACAATAGCTAGGGAAAAAGTTTAAATCAGTTCAGTATTGCGAAGCTTACAATGGAGGGGTGGGGGGGTGAAATTTTACTACCTGAATCTTCCGTATCAGTATAACAAATTGCTTTGCTGTTCTTGAGCAGCAGATTTTTTCCTATTCATTCATTTGCAAAAATTTGATCCCCACACCCTTCACCCGGGGGTCCTTATTTGAACCAATTTGATTTTACTCTACCTAAGGATGCCTCCATATCAATATGACTAATTATGGCTCTCATGTTCCCGAGAATTTTTTCCTATATATTCATCTGTAAAACTTTGATCCCCCGTTGTGGCCACAACTCAGGGTAATGATTTGAACAAACTTGAATCAACGCTACCTAAGGATGCTTCCATAAGATATGACCAATCATGCATATGACTTTGCTGTTCTTAGAAAGAAGAGTTTTAAATAATTTTCCTGTGTATTACTATGTTAAACTTTGATCACCCGTTATGGCCCCAGCCTACCTTGGGGGTTCATTATTTGAACAATCTTTAACCTACACCCACGGAGGACGTTTCCATATAAAATGACCAATCATGGCTTTGCTGTTGAGAAGGCGATTTTTTACATTTTCATATAAAACTCTGTTAAACTTAGATCCCTCATTGTGGCCCAAACCTTAACCCGAGGTCATGATTTGAAAAAAAAAATCAATCTAGACTACCTGAGGATGCTTCCATATAAATATGAACAATCATAAATAGCTGTGCTGTTTTAAGAAAGAAGAGTTTTAAAGAATTTTCCATTGTATTATTATGCCAAAGTAAACTTTTTGGAGAGTTTGGTTGAAATTGGCTTAGCGTTTTTTGAGAAGAAATCAAAAAGTTAACAGACAGGCGGACGGACGCCGGAGAAAATGTGATCAGAAAAGTCCACTTGAGCTTCGGATCAGGTGAATTAAAAATGAATAAGAGGAATCCTTACCCCGTGACTCGAGAAAAATAGTATTTACTTCCAGTTTTGTTTTGTTTTTTCTTGATTTGGCTGTTGCCGGCTATTAGAAATTCTTACAAACCCTTTAGACTTTAGTTTTGTCAAAAGAAAGAAAGATGTAATTAAGTGAGAGCGATACCTATTAAAAAAGAATGAATGTATTGCATGATCAGAGCGTGACCGAAAGAAAAAATTGTCGATTCAAGAGCAGTCCCGAAAGTTTTTGCAGCGTAATACTAGAATTTCATGAGTAACAAACAGGTTACTCGAAGTTCAAGGGGCCACAACAAAAGTTTGAGAAATCGAGGGGATCGAGAGATAGGAAGTGAATAAGATCCGGAGTTTTTAGTTTCAATCCGTATCGTTTTTCTATTGTTTATACAATAGTGGTCAAGTGTATGTTGATAACGTCATTGCACGTTTTCAGTCGTATTTTACAAGATGTTCAAAATTTCAAAGGTGCAGCCAATCAGAGCAAAGCGCACGTGCATGCACGTGAGATCGCGTGATTTCAAAAAATGAAAAGTTACGGCAATATCCATTATAATCGGATGTGTAGTTTACAAGATCACTCGTGGACAAAATTTTCCCAGGAAGAAGAAAAATAAAAAATAATAATAAAAACAAATACTTGATTTCAGCAACAATGAGCGTATTTTGAATCAATAAAATGATTTATAAGTTTCAATATCTATTTGTTCTCATTTCATGATACATGAAACCTGAATAGCAATTGTCGGTGTGGCTATTCAACAGAGCGAGCGTTCGCGAACATTTTTGTTGGAGGTATTAATTTAGTAATTTTGGCGAGCGCTCGCGAACATTCGCTCAGTTGAACGTTCGCTCAGTTGATTTCTGGTGATCGGTTATTCTATAATTCATGATTTCTTGTGCAATGATTGCCATACTGGGATTATGACTAGACAAGACTTCATTTCGAGAACTTCGAGAGATCGGAGTTCGGGCCATCGAGAGTCTCTTGTTTTTATATGCAAACAAGATGTGTTTGTGAAACACTATGCGCCCGGCGGCAACAAAGTTTGAAAAAGCTTTATTAAGCATATACAGTAAAACTCTTTTAGTACGAACACGGATATTGCGAATTCACAGATATAGCGAATTCATCTTGGATCCCCAGCTATATAAATTTAATGGATTTCTTATACGGTTATAACGAATTACGATTATAGCGAAGTAATTTCATAGGTCCCAGCGACTTCGTTATAACCGAGTCAAGTTCACAAAGTCATTGACCTTCAGTTGGTATCATTTGAAAGTACTTAATTAGTGGAGTAGGCAAACCAAATATTAAGTCTCTATCTCATATGATTCAAAAGTTATGGCAAATGTTTATAAAAGCTATTTTTAGCACATGTCACAGTCAGGGTCACAAGGTCACTGACCTTGGTGTCACTTAAAAGAATATTATTAGTTGTGTAAGCATATCAAATATAAAGTCTCTATCTTCTATGGTTCAAAAGTTATGTCAAAAAGTCGAAAAAGCTATTCTTACAATATAGGTCACGGTCAAGATCACAAGGTCATTGAACTTAGTGTCATTTGATAGAACTTTATCAGTGGAGTATGCATACCAAACACGAAGTCTTTGTCTCTCATGGTTCAAAAGTTATGGTGAAGGTTAAAGTTGACAACAGACAGACAGACAAGACAAAAACAATATACTCCCTGGATCTATCGATTCGGGCGCATAAAAATTAGGTTTAAGTACACTTTCGAGCTAATCAACGCATCACCAAGTCTGTTGTGAAAGTTGATATTTTTTCTCACTGATTTGTACCTTTCCATGATACCTAACACACTGCGTTTATTAATGGTGACAAATAGTGTGTTTTTTAGTTTTACTCATATCCGTCCAGATCAGTTGCCTATGGCAAGAAACTTGAGTATGATGACGTATGCGACTTTTGAGGCCTGGGCACCAGGAAAGAAAACTCTGAAAAGAGGTCTATGGGCCACAACGCTATTACTCACCTGAGTACTTTCGGAAGAAAAAACAAATCATTTCAGTATTGAAAAGTTTAAGGAGGCCAGGGGTCGACAAATAAACCATCAGTTGTAACTTAATTTTGTATTTACATGTATGATCTTTTAAGCTGTAAACTATTATTCGCAAAGAAATATTTCATACATTTTAGTTTTAAAGTTTGATCATTTTTGTAAATCTTTATATGAAACTCTTCTTTTAATGGAGATAAATATAATCTAAAAATGGCCACAACCACCCAGCCGGCTTAAATATATAAGAGGTCGGGGCAGGGAGGATTTGGTTTGAACAAACCTGAATCTTCAGTACCTGAGAATGCTTCTAAATAACTATGACTTTTAGATTTTTTTTTGGAATTTTAAAGAATCCAGTTTAAAACTTAATCACCAATTGTGGTCCCGCCTTTCCCCCGGGAAAAAAATTGAATCTACACTACCTGAGAATGCTTCGACATTAATATGACCAATCATGGCTTTGCTGTTCTTTAGAAAATTATTTTAAAAGAATTTTTTTCCCATTTATACCTAGATTGAACCTTTATCCCAAACTGAAAGTATGGCCACACCCTACGCCCAGGACAAATCATTTAGACAAAGGATGATGTGACATACATGGACCAAGGTAAACTGACAAAAAGTTAAGCATTTGAATTGAAAATATATTTTAAATGTATTTTATGCCTTATTATAGTTCCTGAATATAATGATACATATATATGAGATACATGCATGTTTCACATATAAACAAGATGTGTTTGTGAAACACTATGCGCCCGGCGGCAACAAAGTTTAAAAAACATATAAACATTTTCTAGCATATAGGTCAAAGTCAAGGTCACAAGGTCAATGATTTTTTGGGTGTCATTTGAAAGAACTTGATTAGTGAAGTATACATACCAAATAAGAAGTCTTTATCTCTCATGATTCAAAAGTAATGGTCAAGGTTCAAAAAAGCTATTTTTAGCATACAGGACACAGTCAAGGTCACAAGGTCATTGATGTTGGTGTCATGTGAAAGGGTTTAATTAGTAGAGTCTACATTCCAAATCTCAAGGCTCTATCTTTCTTCCTTCAAAGGTTATGGCGAAGGCTAGAGTTTGCCGACAAAACAAACTATATTTAGCGTATAGGTCACAGTCAAGGTCACAAGGCCATTGACCATGGTGTCATTTAAAAGAGCTTAATCAGTGCTGTATGCGTATCAAATATGAAGTCTCTATCTTTTGTTTCAAAAAATATGGCAACGATTAAAGTTTGCAGAAAAAAACTATTTTTAGCATATAGGTCACAGTCAAGGTCACAAGGTCATTGACCTTGGTGTCCTTTGAAAGAACTTAATTAGTGGAGTATGCATACCAAATACGAAGTCTCAACCATTTATGGTTTAAAAGTTATGTCGAAGGTTAAAGTTTGCAGACAAACAGACAGACAGGACAAAACAATATACGCCTCGGATCTTTCGATCCCGGCGCATAAAAACATCCAATGACCAATATGTGCGATGAAAAGGATCCAAACAGTAGCATGCAAAATAAATGCGATTCTTGGAGGGATTCATTTTAACATCAAAATAGTGAAACTTTATTGATACTATTTGACTTTTATGCCTTGTGCCCTTCACTTATAAGTGTAATTTCATCTATAATGATATCGTATGATAAACAAGCTCACATGATATTCACATGAAACAAGAGGCCAATGGGCCTTATAGCGTTTCCTACCATTCAAGTTGATTCAGGCCATGACATTCATTCACAATTTTGAAAGAGGCTACATTATATTATGCTTATCATAACTATACACTTAGCATGCTTATATAGATAACTTAATATCTATAGGCAGAGAAGGGCAACAAAAACTGCATTTCAACTGATTTTCTTTAGAAGAAGATTTAAAAAAACATTTCAACTAATCTTCTTGAGGAGAAGATTAAAAAACATTTTCACTTTTTCTCCATTATCCCCCCCTGAAAAAACAATTGAATCCCCTTCACCCAAGAATGCAGTGATTCTGCATGGAGAAGAATTCAAAATGTGAAAATTTTACCGACGATTAGATGAACAGACAACAAACGAACTACAGACAAAATGTGATCAGAGGAGCTTTAAGCTCGGACAGACGATCAGATAGAACCCACACGTAGGTATAAAGAAGGTAGGAAAAAAAACATTTCTCAATTTTAAAAGTGATATTTTTCAAAATTATATTGTTTATATCATCTTTTGCACGTTTAATTCTGTTTTTCATTGTTTTAATGTTTTATCAATAATAAATTATTTATTTTTCACTCATGTTTAGATATGTGAAAAAAAAACGCTTCATATATGATTCGAACTCTCTCCATAGCGCAGGGTTTGGTTCAAGACCGACCGCTTTAACTACTACGCTACGACGTATTTATGCGTTATCGACGTCTGTCAGTGTGATTTAAATAAAGGGATTTTTTAAAGTTTACATTTTTTCAGAAATTTTCGATTTTCATATAGAATGGGTTCAGATTCCATTTTTTTTTTTTTGACAAATAAAATAGATTTTACATTTAAGTTTCCATAATTTAAGCATTAACGCAGAATGGAGACTTGACCCATTCATGTTCAAAATTAATCTTTTATAGCTATAATAGACCCATTTTCCACAAATATGCTTAACTTTCAACTTTTAAATAAAGATTATCAAATAATAAGTCGTTCAGTAAAATAAAATGATAAAATGTTTTGAAGATGACTTTACTGAGAACATGATTTTAGAAATATATAGAAAAAATAAACTTTTCTGTGAATTTTGAAAATTGAGAAACATTTTGTCTCAGAGCGGCGGAATGTCTACGCCTTATACGCCCTCTTTCTTTGTGTTAGAGTATCGCAAGTTAAACGGTCACATGAATCCTGTTCATCAGGTAGACGGAGTTCAAATTTTAATAGACCAGAAGTATCTGTCGAGACTGTAGCTCTACTGGTTTGTACTTATAACAAAGGAAGAGAAAAGAAGCCATTGCCATGCATCAGACTAAAACTGTAGGAGTAGTAGCATTTTAAAGGAATTTCAGACATTTCTATTTTTAGTAACCATGGCAACTAGTTTCACCGAAATCAAAAACTGATGCAGTATTTTATGGGTCTTAGAGTAGTCTACTTGTGTGCCAAGTTATATTGAAATCAGACTAAAACTGTGGGAGAAATAGCATTTGAAAGGAATTTTACAGAAAAATCTATTTTTAGCAACCATGGCAACACCGTTCATCCTAATCAAAAAACGATGAACTAAATTGTGTATCTTAGTGTAGTCTACTTATTAATATGGGCTAATTTATATTGAAATCAGACCAAATTAAAACTGTAGGAGTAGCAGCATTTTGAAACCAGAAGTCTCTGTCGAGACTGTAGCTCTAATGGTTTCTACTTATAACAAAGGTTGAGAAAAGAAGCCATTGCCATCAGAACAAAACTGTAAAAGGCGTAGTGTTTTAAAGAAATTTCACAGACATTTCTATTTTTAGTAACCATGGCAACACTGTTCATTGAAATCAAAATCCGTTCCACTATTTTATGTATCTTAGTATAGTCCAATTGTGTGCCAAGTAATATTGAAATCAGACCAAAACTGTAGAAGTAGTAGCGTTTTAAAGGAATGTCACAGAAAATTCTATTTTTAGTAACCATTGCAACACCGTTCATCGAAATCAAAATCTGATGCCCCATTTTATGTATTTTAGTGTAGTCTACTTGTGTGCCAAGTACTAGTAATATTGAAATCAGACCAAAACTGTAAAAGGAGTAGTGTTTTAAAGGAATTTCACAGAAAATTCTACTTTAAGTAACCATGGCAACACCGTTCATCGAAATCAAAATCCGATGCACTATTTTATGTATGTTAGTGTAGTCTATTTGTGTGCCAAGTTATATGGAAATCAGACCAAAACTGTAGGAGGAGTAGCGTTTTGAAAAATTGTTTACAAACAGACGGACGGACGACAGACACCTTATTATCGCATAAGCTCTTCTGGTCTCTGACCAGTAGAGCTAAAAATTGTTTACAGACAGACAGACAGCTGGACAGCTAGACAGACAGATGGACGGACGACGGACACCTTACTATCGCATAAGCTCTTCTGGTCTCTGACCAGCAGAGCTAAACCAGGTGTGTTCTTATAACAAAGGATGAGAGAAGCCATTGTCATCAGACCAAAACTGTAGGAGCAGAAGCGTTTTAAAGAAATTTTAAAGACATTTCTATTTTTAGTAACAATGGCAACACTGTACCTCGAAATCAAAAACCGATGCATTTAATTATGTATCTTAGTTTAGTCTACTTGTGTGCCATGTTTTAATGAAATCAGACCAAAATTGTAGGAGGAGTAGTGTTTTAAAGGAATTTCACAGACATTTCTCGTAATCGAAAATCGATGGACTATTTTATGTATCTTAGTGTAGTCTACTTGTGTGCAAAGTTATACTGGAATCAGACTAAAACTGTAGGAGGAGGAGTATTTTAAATGAATTTCAAAGAAAATTTTATTTTTAGTAACCATGGCAACACCGTTCATCGAAATCAAAAACCGATGCAGTTTTTTAATGTATCTTTGTGTAGTTTACTTGCGTACCAAATCTAATTGAAATCAGACTAAAACTGTAAGAGGAGTAGCATTTGTTAGGAATTTCACAGAAAATTCCTATTTTTAGTAACCATGGCAACATCGTTCATCGAATCAAAAACCGATGCAGTTTTTTATGTATCTTGGTGTAGTCTACTTGTGTGTCTAGTTATATTGAAAATAGACCAAAACTGTAGGAGGAGTAGCGATTTGAAAAATTGTTTACAGACAGACGGACGACGGACACCTTACTATCGCATAAGCTCTTCTGGTCTCTGACCAGTAGAGCTAAAAATTAAAGGTCTAATAATTGGTGTAAAATATGTCAAAAAAAATACGACCAAATACTAGTAATATGCTTTCAGTAATTTTTAAAAACAATAAAATGTGCACAATGCTGACAAGGTTGTTGAAATCCCTGTAATATCAACGTCTCTGTAATTACCCTTCCTCGTTTGAAGAATATGCTAGTACTCGGGCTGCTCTTTAGTATCGAATAAGACTCAGTTGAAAGGTGTAGATATATTTATGGAAGAGAGCTAACCGGATATTTCTGTATAAATAGGGGAAAATGACGATAATAATGCTGTAACCGTCTCGTTTATCAAACAATTTAACAAGTTGTGTGTTGGCTGTTATCGTCTATAGTCAGTCAAGTATCCAGATATGCAACAGAAGTGACAGACTCTATAATAACCCTTTTTATCGTTTTTTTCATCTTCTTTGTCCAGTGTTATTGAGAAAAATTTTTATAGACTTTTCCATAAACTTTGATCAAAACACTTTGATTCCCTATTATGACCCTCATCAACCCTAGTAATTCTTAGGGAGATGTAAGAAATTAATGTCCAGCTTTACGGATGACTGGACTGACTAATGGTAGACAAATAGTGAAAAGCTGACTACCACTGAATTAAGGTACATATAAGCGTAACATTACACTTCTTTTATTGATTAATTTTATATTACCAATCCATTCTGCAAATTCTGTCCAGTCTCTTGCCCTTGGTGCATTAGTTCTCAGATCCAATTTCATAGACAGCTCCAGGTACTGATTGTGTGTTATGTTAAAGACATCCCACATTTTCGGCACACGACCCTCCATTACTCTCTGTATAGTTAGACATAACTAAAACAAAAATAGTACCATCTTTTCAATGCAGCATGATGTTCGTAATAACTCTAGTAATTTTGATATTCTATTTCTATAATCTTCAAGATTTATCACATTAAATGTCATCAACAACACAATAATCAAAAGTTGGAGAAACTCTGAGGAATTTTCCTTACAAATATTTCACAAATTCTATAAATATTACTGTTAAGAATTCTACGAAGATAACAGAAACATTTTGTTTTGTAGCTGCATTTGTATTGAAAATATATTTCAAATGTATTTTATGCCTTATTATAGTTCCTAAATTTGGTGATACATATATATCAGATACATGCATGTTTTACATATAACCCCCCCCTCCAAAAAAACCACCCAATGACCAATATGTGTGATAAAAAGGATCCAAACTTTAGCATGCAAAAAAAATGCGATTCTTAGAGGGAATTCATTTTAACATCAAATTAGTGTGAAATTTTATTGATACTATTTGACTTTTATGCTTTGTGCCCCTCACTTATAAGTCTAATTTCATTTATAATGGTATCGTATAATAAACCAACTCACATGATATTCACATGAAACAAGAGGTCAATGGGCCTTATAGGTCACCTGAGCGTCAAGTAACAACTTTACTACCATTCAAGTTGATTCATGTTTTAAACCAGAGGCCATGACATTCACAGTTGTGAAAGAGGCTACAATGCTTATCATAACTATACACTTAGCATGCTTAGATAGATAACTTAATATCTATAGGCAGAGAAGGGCTACAAAAACTGCATTTAAACAAGAAAGTAATATTCAGCAATAATCATTAGTGTCCAACCCCACAGGAATCCCTGACCCTGGGTCCACAAAATTCACAGTTTTGGAAAAGGCACCATTGTTACAACGCACTTTGAAAAATTACGCACTTTGAAAAAATTTTTCAAAGTGCGTTAAAATTTGGGACCAAGCTAACGCACTTTGAAAAAAATAATTTTTTTTCAAAGTGCGTTAATATCGACCATATTAACGCACTTTGAAAAAAATGTAAAGATTGATCAATATTCCTTCAAATAATCGGTATGATAAATAACATAACTTTCTTATGATAAAGTCACTGTAGGACCTGAGATATTGACGTTTTAATTATTTAAGGTTTTGATAAAATAAAAGGGAAAATTAAAGGGTCTTGAAAAAAAGAGTGACGATTGTTTAAGTTCACTAATTCGTTTCTTCTTCCTTTATTTTAAATTCTAGTCTTTGATAAGTAGATGTAAAGGTGTATAGGGGGCACTAACTGAGGACAGTTTCAAGCAATTTAACATTCTTCATAATAAAAAGGGGACAATTTGATTGTTCAAAACTATGAAAATTCTTCCTCTCTCATACGTTTTACTGTACTTAAAAATTTCTTGTTTTCATCTGTTTTAATTAACTCATTTATTATTGAAAGTTTTCAACGTCATACCAGTAAGGTAAATACATAATTATATGAATGCTTTGAGTATATCATAGCCATCGAGACTGGGCGAAGGGCCAGGGGAGGGGATGGGGGGCTAAGCCCCCCACTTATTTTGGAATAAGTCGTATAAGCATTGAAAATGCAAAGTACCCTTTTTAGGTTTATTGCTCCCCTCCTCCGTTTGTTACCGACACCTATGTATTGGAAAGATAAAGATTTGGACTGAGGGATCTTATACCCGTCTTCTCCTCTTTTCAACGGGAGTAAATCAATTCATTTTTGAGGTTAGGGTTAGGCTTAGTTTTTTGAAAGATAAATAACAAATAAAATCTTTCCATGACTAAAATATGATTTTTTTTTTCAAAGTGCGTTAAGTGTCTCCATGGTAAAATATATTGATGTAGACTCTTAACGCACTTTGAAAAAATTTTTCAAAGTGCGTTGAGTTGGTCCCAAATTCAACGCACTTTGAAAAAAATTTTCAAAGTGCGTTGATTTTGTCCCAAAAATTACGCACTTTGAAAATTTTTTTCAAAGTGCGTAATTTTTTCAAAGTGCGTTGCCACACACCATACTCATCACATAAATGTTTGATTAATACCAAGAAGCAGATCTCAAGGTATTTATTCATTTTCAGTATATAAAGAGCCCCCAATCTACGGTACCCCTGACCATGGGACCTTGCAATTCACTAATCTGTAAGGACCGTTGTCCATCTGCTTAATACCAAGGAGCAGAAGAGAAGATTTTCAAACAATTATTGCATTTCATTATGTAATCAATAAACCCTACCATTACACCAGAATCTCTGAACCAAGGGCAATGAAAGAACTACGAACTCTAACTCTTGATTCCCGCCTACATTTTGCACCCATCAAATTCAATATTAATGGCAATTTGGCCATTAAATCTTTGTTTAAAACAAAGAACAGTTCTATGGTAATTGATTAATCATTTTAATTCCAGCGCTAGATAGTAAATTATCATTAATTCCAGCTCTTGAAAAAAGGGGGGTAGACGATATTTTCTAGTGAAATCGAAATTTCAAGAATCACTATATTTTGAAATAGTCTTAAATATGATGAAATGTATCTCATATCTTTTCTTATGTTTTACGCAAATAAATAATACATATATAAATTAATAGAATACAATTATTTAGTTGTAAATAGCTTTAAAATTGGTGAAAAATCAGCATTTTTTCCGTTTTTTGTCTATAAACATATCCCCCCCCCGTGAAACACAAAAAGCTTTGGCATAAATTTGAAAAAAAAAACAGTCCATATTACCTGTAAAAAGGAATTTTGGTTTCACGGGGAGGGGGGGGGGGGTGTTTAAAAAATATTTCCGTTTTCCGTTGATTTCTATAGTGAAAAACACAAGTTTTACCAATATTATAGAGTTATCTCTCTTTGGTATCCCAAATAAGTAACGTTTTATGAAAATACATATAAATATGTATAAAAATTTTGAAAATCATTCGAATATGTTAACTTTTGAGAATTGACAATATTGAAGTACCCGAGGCCTTCCGTGTGCAATCTGAAGGCCTCGGGTACTACCCTATTGTCATCCGAGTGAGTTATCTTTTCTTGGGCGAAGAGTTTCACACTGTGCAGAAAGCTGGGATTTTCGTTAGATAAAAGCTATTTTCGATGGATATATTTGGAATATTTTAGCCTGGATGAGTACTAGGATATCATTTGCGCTAGTTCATTTCAGGATTTGTGTAACTTTTCTCAAGTAAGTTGTTTTTTGACTTAGTTTAAAAATCGTGTGCTACTTTCGATTCTTCCCTTGTGTATTTTTATATGTGAAATAGAGAACAGAGTGGGTAAGATGCCCCTGTGCTTCAAGGCTAAGGAAACCGAGCAGCATCTCCTGAGCATTTAAACGGACATTACCCGTGATCACACGTGTTTTGGCCAGGGAATCCACCTGACAGTTGTATTCACCGATAGTACAACAAAGGAATCAATACTGACTCAAATCGCCTTGTAGTATGACTTAGAAAAAACCTAGAATTTTACGTTTATTCAATAAATGAATTGCTTGTCATTGTTAACATGGAAATAATAGGACAAAAAGAAACAAATGAAATTGCTTTACGAAATGGGTTGAAATGTTCTATGTGCCTTTCCCATCGCCATCATATTTTTTTTCAGGTGTAAAATTACTGTAGTACCCGTAGTAACCCATAATGCAATTCTCGTTTATCTGATTTGTCAGGTAAAGCCATCTTTGTGCCTCATTTGATAAGCTGACGCCAAAAAATATTGTCTCGGTTCCAAATACATGTAAATTTGTCCAATGAGAAATTTTAATGTAGAAAAATAATATCAAGAGAATATATATACTAAATTGAACTAATTCAAATGAAATTGAAGTGCATTTCTACAGATATTATATAGGGTAATAGAAATTGAAACACAACATAACTTCTCTGTTACCATGTCTCCACGTGCTTGTTACATTTCCGTGAATAATTTACCCTATCTCGCTGTTATCTCGCTTACTCTCGCCAGAGCTACTACCAAAGCTACTTTGAACTACTCGGGTTTTATAATTTGCAGAACACCGAAAAATAAAAAGTTACGATCACATTAGTAGGGGTGCCTAAGATATCGTTAATCTTATGCATGAGACAACAGTAACAGAATTACCTAAATGAATAAGCATGATCAACGATAATTCTTTATCAATCTACTTTCGCCGACTTTTCTGTCAATTGATGAACATTTTCGTTGTCCCCCGCTTTCGTGAAAGCGAGGGGACATTAAATCTCATTCGTCTGTCTGTCTGTCCGTCCGTCCGTCACAAAAACTTTAACCTTGCGTATAACTTTTGATTTAGTGGAGCTATGACTTTCAAATTTCACATGTGTATTCCTTGTGACAAGAACTTTCTTTTCGTACCACCAAATTTGACCTTTTGACCTTGACCTTGGAGTTTGACCCACTTTTACACAAAAATTCCGAACTTTAAGCTTGGCCATAACTTTTGAATGGTAGGTACTAGGACTTTCCTATTCCAAATATCTATTTTCTGTGGCAAGACCTTTCATTGGATACCAACAACTTTGACCTCTTGACCTTGACCTTGGAGATTTACATCCTTATGAAAAAAAAATTTAACCTTGAGCATAACTTTTGAATGGTAATATTAGGGCTTTTATACTTCACATATGTAATCCTTGTGAGAAGACCTTTCATTGGATACAAAGAACTTAAACCCTTTGACCTTGACTTTGGAGTTGACCTATTTTTAAAAGACTTTAGCCTTGTTCATAACTTTCGAACGGTTAGGGTTAAAGTTTTCATCCTTCACATATGTATTACTTGTGACAAGACCTTTCTTAAAACACCAAAAACTTAGACTCTTTCACCTTGGAGTTTGACCTACCTTTCAAAAATTTATCCTCGACTATATTTTTTGAACAAGTGGTGCTAGGGATTTTGTATTTCACAGTCGTATTTCTTGTGAGAAAACCCCTACTTTGGGTAATAATATATTTAATTTGAATTTAAGAATATTTTAATCTTCGTTATGTTGCCATTCGGGGTCATCAGTGTTTCACAAACACATCTTCGTTATATTGAGAAGAGATAGGGCTTTCATATATGACATGTGCATTACCTGTGACAAGATAATTTCAAGCATGCTATGATTTCTTAATACCCCCTTGATCTTGACCCTCCCGATTGACCTTATTTTTCAACAAGAGGCCCATGGGCCTTATAGGTCACCTGAGTATCATGCAACAACTTTCCAACAATTGAATTTGATTCATGTTTTAATCTAGAACCCATGAAATTCACAATTTTGAAAGAAGCACCATTGCTTATCATAATCATGCACTCGGCATACTTACTTTGGTTAGTAATACCCAGAGGTACATGTAGATCACAGTAACACAGAGAAAATGCATTTCCTCTTTATCGTTATCAGTTGTGCACCCAATACCACTGACCATGGGGCCACATCTTTCAAAATTTTGGAATTTTATAAATTTTATTTCATCATGTTGATGATAAAATTGTACTAGATAATTATAAAGAAAAAATGATGAAAAAAATATCTAAATTTACAGAAAATTCAAAACTATACTTGTACAGTAAAATAAAACACAGTGTCGATATGGAAGAGTATCTTACGCTTGAAAATAGTTTTAAGAATAGACAAATGCTAACTAAATTTCGAACAAGTGACCACTGCCTAATGATAGAAACTGGTAGACATAAGAAAATACCTCGAGAACAAAGATTATGTTCTTCATGTAATACTATTGATGATGAATCACATTTTTTTCTACAGTGTAGCTTGAATATACAAGCAAGGAATATACTTATAAAAGTTATGTTAGATAATTGTTCTTCATTCTACCTCAAATCACCTACTCAGAATCTTGAATATATACTAAGTCCAAAACTTGAAGTTATACCGGCTGTTTGCACTTTTATAAAACAATCATTAGAATTGAGAACTAAAAGGTCCACATCGGTGTAACATTTAGGGAATAAATTTCTATATGGATATTGTATATATAATTCATTGTTCTCATTGATTTTGTTTCTTTTTTGTATTGCTTGACCCATATGGGTGTAATATGCAATAAAGATTATTATTATTATTATTAATACCAAAGTGCAGATTTCAAAGCATTAAATCATTTTCAGACCCCCCATCCAAGTACCTCTGTCCCAGGGGCCAGGAAATTAAGCATTTTTGGAAGGAGCAGCGTTCTTCGTCATAAATATATACTAAGATCATTGCCATAAAACCCAGGATCAAAGGAAAAGATTTTCAAAGAATTTATGCATTTTCACTATATAAACTCTAGAGCCCCGCCCTAACACAAGAGGCCCTGACCCAGGGGCCCTGAAATTCACAAATCTCAAAGAGGCATCCTTCCTCATAGGGTTTTCTATTGTTTTAGCCGTCTTGAAGAGGTAATCATCGTGCCAGACTACCTAAATGGCCGGTCTAAGCTGTGTACATATGATTAACATCAATTAAACTTGAATTAATAAAATATCAAGCAACTCGTCAATTTAAATCACAGAATGAATCAACAAATTATCGCACGCCATATTGCATCATCTTTTTAAATACACATAAGCGGCCTTAAAATTAGGTACTGTTAAAAAATAATGAGAAAAAAATAAAATAAAATCTTTATCAAAATATACATTTTATAATTAAAATAACACAAGTTTTGCTCAGAAATGTTTTAATTATTTACTCTTAACTGAAGTACAAACAGTTTTTTTTAATGACGTAAGCGATACACAAATAAACACATGCAGTATTCTGTATAGAGTTCAGTTAAGGTAATGGGTCTGGTTTATTTCTTCGCATATGGTTAATAAAGTAACTTTCCATGTTTTTTCTGTTCTTATTTTTTAATTTCTTTTCATAATAATCAGCATGTATGTCGAATTTATCCTCACTAATAATAATTTCCATTTTTTTTAAGACCTTAAGAATACATTACGTGTCTGCCGATAATTAATTAACATGTTGACATATAATTATAACAGACACCAATTATATATGTTTCTTAACATCTGTCAAATAGTTCTGCATTTCTTCAGTATGTTAGTTTCTCGGGAAACCGGCCACCCCTCTAGTCCGGCCATTTTATTCAGTCCGGCAGCTGGCCGGTTTAGAGAAGTTTTACTGTACTTAGTTTATTTAATATCCAGGAGCAGAGAAGATTTTCAAAGAAATAATGCATTTTCACTGTATAATCAATAGAGTCCCGCCCTAACACCGGAACCCCTGACCCTGGGGCCGTAAAATTCTCAATTTTAGAAGAGGCAGCCTTATTCACCATAACTATGCACTTGGTTAGTTTATTTAATGCCAAGGTGCAGAAAAGAAGAATATCAAAGAAATATTGCATTTTCACTATATAATCTATATAGCCCCGCCCTGCCACTAGAACCCCCGACCCTGGGGCCATTAGATTCACAATTTTAGAAGAGGCAGCCTTATTCACCATAACTATGCACTTGGTTAGTTTATTCAATGCCCGCAAACAGAAAAGAAGAATATCAAAGAATTATTGCTATAATAATATATATGGCCCCGCCCTAGCACTAGAACCCTTGACCCTGGGGTCATTAAATTCAAAATTTTGGAAGAGGCAGTCATTTTCAACTCAACTATGTACTTGGTTAGCTTATTTAATGCCCAGGAGCAGAAGAGAAGAATTTAAAAGAAATAATGCATTTTCACTATATAACCTATTTACATGTAGCCCCGCCCTAGCACTAGAACCCCTGACCCTGGGGCCATGAATTTTACAATTTTGGTAGAAGACTTAATGCTGATTACAATCATACCAACAGTTTGACTGCTTGGTATCCAGGAGTAAAGAAGAAGATTTTTAAAGATTGCACTAATTTTAGTGGTTTTTGCCCCACCCCCCAGGCCCCAGGGGGCAGGGACCATGAAATATTCACAATTTTTGTTCCCCTTCTCCTATAGATGCTATATGCCAAATTTGGTTGAAATTGGTTCAGTGGTTTCAGAGAAGAAGCTGAAAATGTTCAAATGTTAACGCACGACGGACGACGACGGACGAAAACAGATAGCAATAGGTCACCTGAGTTTACTCAGGTGACCTAAAAAAATCAACTTCAATGATAATTTCTAAATAAATGACATTTGATAGGGTGTTCATATTAGACACAATATGTCATAAAAAAATAACATCTCGCCCACAAAGACACCAAAAGCGGGGGACAACAATTCTTTGGATTTGCTTATTGGTAGATTATGAATACTTACATCTGACTTCCAGTAGTCTTTAGTGTGGTCTTCCTCAGCAGAAGAAGAAGAGGAGGAGCTGCATCTGCCAGTTGGACGAGGCTGATCATACAGGTTAATATTTAAAGGTAAATTACAAATCCTATAGAAAAAGGATAAAGTTACCATTTTTCATTTACCCAAATATATATTATTTTATTTAAATCTGAGACAACTAAAACTTTTGATTGAAATAATGATACTTTTTTCTCTCATGTATGATTTTTATTCTTTATCCATGTAGGAGAAAGAAAGAAATATAAGGGGACGACCATTTGATTCAGAAGGGGTTGATAATCTGTCCTCGAAAACGTTGGTAATAAAAAATCTGTCCCTGACCCCCTCCCGCCAACGAATTAGAGTTGTCGACTGTGTTGTTAGCCTTCTTTTGAGTGTTAGACTTTTTGTTCCCCGCTTTCGTGAAAGCGAGGGGACATTAAAACTCATTTGTCTGTCCGTCCGACACAAAAACTTTAACCTTGCCGATAACTTTTGATTAAGTGGAGCTATGACTTTCATATTTCACATGTGTATTTCTTTGGGTACAACCAAATTTGACCTTTTGACCTTGGAATTTGACCCACTTTTACACAAAAATTCCACTTTAACTATGGGCATAACTCTTGAATGGTAGATACTAGGACTTTCCTATTCCACATACTGTGAAATCACAAATTTTCGTGGGGGTTTAATTTTCGTTGTTTTCAAGGTATGAAGAGACCCACGAATTCATATCCATCACGAAATGTAAAATGTAACATACAATACTACTTAACAACTACTCATCCATGAATTCAAAACCCCACGAACCGAGAGGTTTTACTCACGAATCGCGAAAATCACGAAAATCTGACCCCACGAAAATATGTGATTTTACAGTATGTATTTTTTGTGGCAAGACCTTTCAGTGGATTTCAACAACTTTGAAAGTTTGACTTTGACCTAGGAGATTTACGTACTTATGAAAAAACTTTAATCTTGACCTTGATGTTTTAACTACTGTTTAAAAACTTTAACCTTGGTCACAACTTTTGAACGATAGATACTAGGACTTTCATATTTCACATATGTATTCTTTCCACCAAGACCTTTCATTGGATACCAACAGCTTTGACCTTTTAACCTTGACCTTGGAGATTTACGTACTTAAGAAAAAACTTTAACCTTTACCATAACTTTTGAATGGCAAGACTAGGGCTTCGTACTTCATATATGTAATCCTTGTGACAAGACCTTTCGTTGGATACAAAGAACTTTAACCCTTTGACCTTGACTTAGGAGTTGACCTACTTTTAAAAAACTTTAACCTTGTTCATAACTTTTGAACGGTTAGGGTTAGGGTTTTCATCCTTCACATATGTATTACTTGTGACAAGACTTTCTAAGAAACCAACAACTCAGACCCCTTCATCTTGGAGTTTGACATACCTTTCAAAAATTTGTCCTCGACTATAACTTTTGAATAGGTGGTGCTAGGGATTTTGTATTTCACAATCGTATTTCTTTTGAGAAAGCCCCTACTTTGGGTTATAATATATTTAATTTGCATTTTTTGAAAATATTAATCTTCATTATGTTGCCATTCAGGGTCATCAGTGTTTCACAAACACATCTTCTTCCTTATATTGAGAAGAAATATGGCTTCCATATATGACATGTGCATTACCTGTGACAAGATAATTCCAAGCACGCTATGATTTATTACCCCTTGATCTTGACCCTCACGATTGATCTTATTTTAAAAAATCAACTTCAATGATAATTTCTAAATAAATGACATGAGAAAGGGTGTTCATATTAGACACAATATGTCATAAAAAATAACATCTCACCCACAAAGACACCGAAAGCGGGGACCACAATTCTCAGTCAAGAAGAAAATTAATAATCTGTCCTTGATTTTGTTGGAAATGAATAATCTGTCCTTCACTGACATGAATTTAAACTAAAGGCATTGTGAGCAATGAGCTCACTAAATGATACCCCTCCTTCCATATGAATATAAAAACAGTATCCATGTTTTGCTATGGGAAACACAAAATATGCGTCGGATCAAAACGTAAAAAAGAAGGAGCACAAAGACAATATATAATAACAAGAGGCCCGCGGGCCTTATAGGTCACCTGAGGATCATGTAACAACTTTTAACAATTGAATTTATTTCGTGTTTTAAACCAGAGGCCATGAAATTCATAATTTTGAAAGAGGCACTATTGCTTATCATAATTATACACTTACCAAGCTTATTATAGTTACTTAATACCCAGACGTAGATCAGAGTAACAAAGAGAAAATGCACTTCCACTTTATAACCAGTTATGCACCTCACCCCAAAGGAACCACTAACCCTGGGGCCATTTATTTCAAAATTTTGGAAATTTTATCATAAATTTTATTTCATCATAAATGGTTGATTAATACCAAAAAGCAGATTTCAAAGCATTAATTTATCTTCAGACTATGTAACCCCCCCTACCCCTGACCCAGGGGGCATGAAATTAACCGTTTTGCTAGATACACCTTTTTTCATTAAAAAAATATATATATATATATATATATATATATATATATATATATATATATATATATATATATATATATATATATATACTTAGATCATTGGCATAATTTAATACCCTGGAGCAAAGGAAAAGATTTTTAAAGAATTAATGCATTTTCACTATATAATCAAAAGTCCCCCCCCCCCTAAAGCAAATGGCAAAACCCCTGAAACAGGGGACATAAAAATTCACAAATTTGGTTGAGGCGCCATTCTTGATCATAATAACTATGTACTTTATGTTGTTTATTTAATACCCTGAAGCAGAGAAGAAGATTTTTAAAGAATAAATGCATTTTCACAATATAACTAATAGAGCCCAGCCTTAACCCCAGAACCCCTGACCCTGGGGCCATGAAATTCACAATTTTGAAAGAGGCACTCTTGATCATCATAACAATGTACTTAGTTAGTTTATTTAATACCAAGGAGCAGAGAAGAAGATTTTCAAAGAATTAATGCATTTTCACTGTATAATCAATAGAGCCCTGCCCTAACACCAGAACCCCTGACCCTGGAGCCATAAAATTCACAATTTTGAAAGAGGCACTTTTGCTCATCATAACAATGTACTTAGTTAGTTTATTCAATACACAGGAGCAGAGAAGAAGATTTTCAAAGAATTAATGCATATTCACTATATAATCAATAGAGCCCCACCCTAACACCAGAACCCTTGACTCTGGAGCCATAAAATTCACAAATCTGAAAGAGGCACTTTTGCTCATCATAACTATGTACTTAGATTGTTAATTTGATACCCAGGAGCAGAGAAGAAGATTTTCAAAGAATTAATGCATTTTCACTATATTAAATCAAGAGCCCCGCCCTAACACCAGAACCCCTGACCCTGGGACCATGAAATTCACAATTTTGGAAGAGGACTCAATGCTGATTACAATCATACCAACAGTTTGTCTTGTCTGCTTGATGTCCAGGAGTAAAGAAGAAGATTTTTATAGATTGCACTAATTTTGGTAGTTTTGGCCCCACCCCCAAGGCCCCAGGGGGACAGGGACCAGGAAATTCACAACTTTTGTTCCTCTTCACCCATAGATGCTGTATGCCAAAATTGGTTGAAACTGGTTCAGTGGTTTCAGAGAAGAAGCTGAAAATGCTCAAATGTTAACACACGATGCCGGACGAAAACGGATAGCAATAGGTTTACTCAGGTGACCTAAAAATTCTATGAAAGTCTCATCAAATTTCATTCAGTGGTATGAGAGGAGTTACTATTTTTAATAACCACGGCAACACCATTCATCGAAATCAAAAACTGATAATCAGATTAATGTATCTTAGTGTAGTCTAATTGTGTGCCAAATTATATTGAAATCAGACCAAAACTGTAGGAGGAGTGGCATTTTGAAATATTGTTTACAGACGGACAGACAGACAGACGGAGGACGCATTAATATCGCATTAGCGCTTCTGGTATCTGACCAGTAGAGCTAAAAACAAACAAAACACTAGAGATACTGTGAGCAATGAGCTCACTAAAAGATACCTCCTCCCATAATCCCCCCCCCCCCCGCCTCCTATGTGAATATAATGGGCGTGTCAATGTTTAGCTATGGGAAACGCAAAATATGTGTAGTAATAGCTCAAGTTTTGTTACATGTACATGTATCTATCTTTTTGGAAGATCTCTTGCCGTCTTTATATTGTTTTACGGTAACAAATAGAGAAGAATAATATAACTAGAGGTAATGTGAGCTCGCTAAATGATACCCCCGCTACCCATTTGAATATAATGGGGAATGTCAATGTTTTGTAATGGGAAACCCAAAATATGTGTCGGATCAAAAAGTAAGATAGGAGGTGCACAATGGCAATATGTAATAAAGATTCTGTGAAAGTTTCATTAAATTTCAGTCAGTGGTATGAGAGGAGTTGCAGATAAGAGATGGGTACCCCAGAGCGTAACAGACAGACGGGTGTATAGCTAGACGGACGGACGGACGGACATAACGACTACTATTTACCATCCCGCTAAAATTTAAAGTATCTGCGATAAGTTGCAGAGAAAACTGCGACCAAAATTTGTTATTTATGGTACGGAGAGAAGCACGACTAATCAGGAAATTGACATCGATTTGTACAAAAATGGATCGCACTAAATGACATGCCTCAGCAAAGAATGTGCTAAAATTTCAAGGATATGCAATGAGTGGTTGATAAGAAAACTGCGACCAAAAATTTGTTGCGGTCTATCACACGGACATACAGACACACAAGGGTAAAACATTATACCCTTATACCCTCTCTCCTTTGGAGCGAATCTATCGAAAATAAACCTATAGATTCAGAAATATGAATCCCCACGCTTGAAGTTCAAATTAACATTTAGATATATCGACTATGTATCAATTTAGAAAAGTTAATTTCATTTTTTTCCCGTAAATTTTGGATTTTTTGCTGACAAAAGCATGGAACTTTCTGAAAAAAGAATCTTCAAATAATGCAATTTTCAGTCTACAATCATATACATATTTATCCAGATTTATTGATTTCAGTTTTGGTGTAAATGAAACTGTATCATACATTTTCAAAGTAAGATGCCATATGAGCTCATAAACATTCGGTATAAATGCTTATTACTTAAACCCTGACCCTGATATACTATCATGGTGCTATTTACATAATAGCCGACAATTTGAAGACCATTTTTATTCCTAATAATGCATTGAAACAACCTACGTAAGCGTCCTATGGAACAATCTAGTTTTAACATCTGTTAAATGTACATGAGCTAAAAGCCATACTTTTTGTAGGAATCATCGCTGGATCGGTGTCTGTACTGGTTATCAAACCACAACCCATGTCTTCTTAATGCTTCTTGATCTATTTCCTTCAGCTCATCACTGAGACGATTCCACCGATCAATTCTAACCTTCATCCTTGGTCGGTGTGGTCTCAAGTTTGGCTCATTTATGTAGACTCTGTATGTGTACGTACTGTCATCATAATGAAATATATTTTCATAGAAAATATTACGATGATTCCATTTACTATATGCACTATTATCAGTGATGCAAACTGTACTTTCTGAGCGAAAAAGACTTGTTTTCTTGTGAATTCTTGGAGGGCTCTCAAAGTCATTTATGTTAAACTTGAACTTTAAACTGCATTTTGGGGGCTGTTGGTGTGGCGGTGGGGGAGGAAGGGCAACAAAATGATCTTGCGAATAGCATGGAAGGGGCGGAGTACTGTCTGGTGATTCCGCAATTATCCAAGAAAATATTTGACTGTTTTCTGTAGAATCTAGATTTTCTTCGAATGAAGTTGTTCGTTCAACCATTAGTTTTTGGATATCTTCCGCAAATCTGCCAGTTGTTCTTAAATGAATAACACTTGAAAGTCTTGAAAACTCTGTAAATAATAAGACAAGCATTATTTATGATCCTCAAATCCAATACAGTGTAACAAATGAAATGGAACAAAGTTACTACTGATCCCGAAAATAAATACAAACTGGAGGTACTGTGAGCTCACTAAATGATACCCCCCGCCTCCCATAATGTCCATGTTTTGCTATATATTGTTTTACGGTAACGTGTAAAGAGGAATAACTCGTGGTATCTAATGTTATTCAGAAGCCGCCATATCTCACGTCATAGGTAAGAATATAATGGCAATGTCCATGTTTTGCTATGGGAAACCTAAAATACGTGTCGGATCAAAAAGTAAAATAGGATGTGCACAATGGCAATATGTGATAAAGATTCTGTGAAAGTTTCATTAAATTTCACTCAGTGGTATAAGGGGAGTTAAGGATATGAGATGGGTACCCCAAAGCGTAACAGACAGACGGACGGACATACAGACAGCTAAACGTACAGACGGACATAACGATTACAGTATACCCTCCCACTTTTCAAGCGGGGGGTATAAAAAGCACGTCTTACAGAGACTTTTGATCCTAAAAATCAGTGCATTAAACAGAACTATCAAAAAGTAAGGATTTGACCCTTATGTTGCTGGTTCGAATCCCACTTTGGGACGTAGAGACCGGCCCTTCGGAAGAGACCTTACGAACCGAGATCCTGTGTTGCAAAACAGTAGGTTCAATGGCTGTAAGTGCCAAGTGTAGGACAAATTTGCATCTCTCAACCGGCAAGTGGTGGTGTCTACATATGAGTGAAAAATTCTCAAGAGGGAACTAATTATAACCAAGATACAAACAGGAAGTCTGTGAGTCAATGCTCACTTGTACTACCCATGCTCTGATGTGAAAATACACTATCATATTAATTTATATACACAAGTTCAGTTACGACCAGATGCACGAATAAATTATAAGTTGACATCAGATTTATGAAAAAATAAATCTCACCATATGGCATGCCTCAACAATATGCTAGTATCTGCAATGATTGATTGATTGTACATTGTTTAACGACCCCTCTCGATAATTTTTTCATTTGCCTTTGGAGATCTGCAAATTTTGTCCTTAACTCGGCATTGAGCAGTGAGGGATCTAGTGCCAGTATCTCTCGGTTTATACGATCTCATCTGAAGGACCAGTCTCCACGTCCCACAGTGGTATTCGAACCCGCGGCGTGAGGATCATCTCCTTACTTCGCGACTCTAGAGCAGACGCTCTAACCACTGCGCCACGCGGGCGACTTTCTGCAATGAGTAGTTGCTGAAAAAACTGCGACAAAATTTTTTATGTATGATACGGACAGACGCATGGTTAAACTGGAAACTGATATCAGATTCGTTAAAAATGAATCCCGCCATATGACATGCCTCAGCAAAGAATGCTAAAATTTCGAGCATCTGCAATGAGTAGTTGCTGAAAAACTTGCGACCAAAAATTTGATACAGTTAAACACACAAGTATACCTCCTCTCCTTCGAAGCGGGGGTATAACAAACAAACAAAATAGTGATCATAACAACTTATACCATCAATCAAGAGTAATATTACAGATAAAGACTTTCTTGTGATCCTCACAACTAATGCTTGAAGAAGCGTTATCTTACAGAGATTTTTAAAAATGTGATCTACACAATCAAAACAGTAATCCAAAACAACCAAATAGTAACCCTTACAATCAATAAATTATAATAAGAGCAACGCAAAGTGGAGCATTCCCTCGCAAAAGAGTCAATCCTGATATGAATGATTACTTGCTTAACTTTTGTTTCGTCCGACTCACCGCCTCCCCCCCCCCCCCTTCTCCATCCCATCACACGCATATACACAAGCGTTACTACATGCATGTATATCATCTCAAACTTCGTTAAACTTTTTCCGGATGCTCTGTAAACGTTGTTCTTCAAAACTCATGATTTCAGACAGAATAACCAAATCTTCGCATTAACTCTAACAATATGGCACCAGATATGAGTGACCGTGAACTAAGGCAACCTGTAATTGGCCACTTCACTGAACATAAGTAATCAATCTTAATAAGTAATGGATATATGCTGAATACTATAGTGTATGTAAAAATATCAGACTGTTTGAGGCCCGTTAGGGCCGAAAATTGTCTGATAATTTTACATATAGAAAAGTATGAGGGATATTTCTTACTTAAAATATTGTCATTTAAATGTCCAAAAGTTACCTGGAGGAGTCCGAAAATTACACAATGGGAGTTTAGGCATCGTTTGTTTTTTACCTGTCTAACAAGTAGACAAAAAAAATGAGACCGTAAAAACAGTGAATGAACTTTTGTTTCATTTCATTATCCCGGGGATTATATAATGGAAATTCTCAGGTTTTACAAGTGCAGCCATCTGGAAAGAATCCTGGAAAAAAATTAGTAGATTTGCAGATTCTTTCTCAGAAATGGATTTAAATTCGCTTAGTCAAAGTGCTATTTCAAAAACACTTTAAAAGGTTGGTAGGAGGCTTTTTCGAACTTTTGCTATTACTTTGGAACCATAGGGGATAGAGTCTTCATGTTTGATATGCATACTCCGATAATTAATCGAAGTATCGAGGTATAAAATTAAATCAATACATATTTTACTACATGTCTTATACGATGTATAACGTAACAAACAAAACGTGACGTCATAATAGGCAGAGTTAAGCGTGATGAAACATGTAGCAGAGAAACACATTTTAAACCACACAGCCACAGATAATACGTAAATGTTTCATCGGTGGAAGTAAATTCGTTACATGGTCTTTTAGTGACAGCGTACGGTATGATCCGCCTCGCCAGGTATGAAATTTACTAACCAGGTATCATCCCGTGCCCTGTCACTAAAAGACTAACGTTATGTAACTAATATCATCAGACCAAACTCCATACAGTGTCAATTCTCCGGGACTACTTTTGTGCCCTACGAATAATGCCACTGCCACAGGCTTTCCAAACTTTATCCAAAATCTGGAAAATTGGCTTGCGCGAGTAATTCGGTTTTCAAAAATTTCAAACTGAATGTTGTATATAAGTTTAACGATGAAAATAAAGGAAAATAACAATAGTTCTTTTTATTTTTGATAACGGCAAGTAATGGTTTAATTTTTTCAATCCGATTAAATCCGGATTATTTTTTCAAGCGTAGTTTACACCAAGTTGCAATGGCAGCTTCCATGCGTCATTGGAAACGGAGAGAAGTTTTGTGTCTCATGGCTGTAATACAACACATTCTGAATGAATTTGGAAGAAATACGAGACTGTGGAAGCAAACGACATGGTATATTTCATGGTTGTGCGAATGGCATCAATAATGATGAGAATATTCGAGAAAACAAAGCTTTGTAATATTCGAGACTGAGCTAGAGCTCAATGAAAGGTGGAATTTCTGTTGTAATGGTTCGGGCCGAGGATATCGGCCTGGATAACTCAATCGGTAGAGCACCTGACTAGTGATACAGGGGTCCCGGGTTCGATTCCCGGTCCAGCCATGTATTTTCTCCTTTCCTGTTACAGATTTGGTGCCGTTGACCACCCCTGGAATTGCAGGTGAAAGTCCTGCCAGGGGCAATAAGAACTTGGGTTGTGTCTTCGAGGGCGAAGACCATTTAAGGAGGGAGGAGTGTAATGGTTCGGGCCGAGGATATCGGCCTGGATAGCTCAATCGGTAGAGCACCTGACTAGTGATACAGGGGTCCCGGGTTCGATTCCCGGTCCAGCCATGCATTTTCTCCTATCCTGTTACACTGTGATGGCAGTGCCGAGGAAACATTGATGTGGTAAACGGTAAAGTTTAAATACTGTATAAGTATTAAGATGAGACAATTTCTGTAAATGAGTAACACGTTTCCATTGTTATGATAACCATTTAGACCCTGAGTTCTCCCATTTAATTAGCATAGGCCAGAAGAGTTCGAACACGTCGTACATTATAATAATGCATTCTACAAAAATTAATGATCTCATTCTAGCATGTACAGTCTTAAAATTATAGGAAATCATTGTTATTATTCAACTATTTATTATAATTATACAAGTAGACCATGTGTTACATGTACAACATTGTGTACATGCAGATCCTATGTACATGTACATTGTATCTATACAAGCTAAAAATTTTGAAAATCCAAATATTTCATACTGAGGAAAGTGAAAATGAAGAATACTATATTGTAATAGAGAAGTAAAAAAGGAAAGGGAGAAAAAACAATAAGGACAACACCAGGATATGACTTAAATGTCACCCTAGGCTTAATTCCTGAAATATAGGACTGTGGTGCTCTATCGATACACCTTTCTGACCACTGTGACAGATCCTGCCTGATTATCACAAGGTAAAAAATTCAAAATTATAATCTCTTTCAACACACAAAACATTATCAAATTTAGGACATATCAGGAAGTGCATGATATTTATAAACAGTGTTCTTCTGAATAGAGAGGAAAGACAAATTTATGCAGACTATAAATGTACATTGTAACAGTATGTCTAGAGCTTATTGTGTTATGTCATGATAGATGTAAACATGGACACCGTGATACATATCTAAGTAGACTTGTCCTTGAAAATGTAAAATTTGAAGTAAATTTCAAAAAATGAGAATTTTTATTTGAGGAGAAAACAGACTGATTCATTATGGAGCTGCGAGCTATATTCGAGCGTGTTTATGAATGGCTTTACTGTAGGGATGTCAAAATTTTCAATAATTGATATCCGAATATTCAATAGGAGTATTCGAATATATTCGAATATATTCGAATATTCGATGAAATAAATACAGTTTGCATTATGAAATATATATTTTTATTCTCCTGTCAATCATTATACGTTTTTTGCCATTACGCCATTACTTTGGAATAAGATGTCACGTAGAATTTTGTAAATGCAAAGTGATTAGATTTTAAAATTTTTACAGAATATATGAAAAGTACACATAAAAAATAATAAAATGAAAATTTGTTTTCGAAAATTCAAAAGATTCTTTAGTAT